TGATTCACACTAATGAGTCAACGAAAACAACTTCATCGTCTCCATCGTTAGATACATTATGTTGCACCTCTAAATAAAAAAACATTATAGAATATATTAATGAATGATAACAATGAAATAATAAATTTGGTTAACAAAATTACAAGTACATAAAATTAATACTACCTTTCTCCATTTCTTGTAACTCTTTCAAATTTTCTTCCATATCCTCTTACTTTTTCTGTTCCATATGTATTCCCGCCCCGCTTTTAACTTCTTATCTGGAGGCAAAGTAGATTGCAATTCTTCCATATCCTTTTCAAAAAGTGGCTGTGACATTTCTTAAGAAAAAGCAGCAGATCTTTTGGATTGAGAGCTCTCCATCTTCAATATAATTATACACAATCTTCAATATAATTATACACAATATAAGTAATTTTTAAGTAACAATTATAAACACATAACATTTTATAAAAAAATGTGAGAACAACTTACATTGCAAGAGTAAGAATCCGTGGTTCTTGTTGATCCTAAACATATAAAACGATAGAATTCAATTACAATTCAAATTGAATTCACAAAATAAACAGAATACATACAAATATACAATACACCAACAAGGCAGCAAATTCTACAATATGAACTAAATTCGAAAGAAACAGATTTTAAACAGATTTATCAATCTACTTTAAACAGATTTATCAATCTTTTCTGATTTATCAATCTACTCCCAGCAAATTCACGGAATAAACAGATTTTAAACACACAAATCGAAAGAAACCAAAATTCAACATGCATTCGAAACAAATGAACTAAAATAATTAAAAAACAGTTACTTAAAATAAATAAAAAAACCTCAAAAAAAATCATGAATTCGAAAAAAAATGAACTAAAAAACAGAACTTGCAAACATCAAACAATCATAATAAGCAATTGAAATACAAAATACCCAATTCAAATATAATTAGATTTAATTTAAAAAAAAAAAAGAACTTACAGGATACCAAAATTCAACATGCATTCGAAACAAATGAACTAAAATAATTCAAAAACAGTTACTTAAAATAAATAAAAAAACCTCAAAAAAAATCATGAATTCGAAAAAAATGAACTAAAAAACAGAACTTGCAAACATCAAACAATCATAATAAGCAATTGAAATACAAAATACCCAATTCAAATATAATTAGATTTAATTTAAAAAAAAAAAGAACTTACAGGATACCAAAATTCAACATGCATTCGAAACAAATGAACTAAAATAATTCAAAAACAGTTACTTAAAATAAATAAAAAAAAAACCTCAAAAAAAAATCATGAATTCGAAAAAAATGAACTAAAAAACAGAACTTGCAAACATCAAACAATCATAATAAGCAATTGAAATACAAAATACCCAATTCAAATATAATTAGATTTAATTTAAAAAAAAAAAAGAACTTACAGGATACCAAAATTCAACATGCATTCGAAACAAATGAACTAAAATAATTCAAAAACAGTTACTTAAAATAAATAAAAAAAAACCTCAAAAAAAATCATGAATTCGAAAAAAAATTAACTAAAAAACAGAACTTACAAACATGCAAACATCAAACAATCATTATAAGCAATTGAAATACAAAATACCCAATTCAAATATAATTAGATTTAATTAAAAAAAAAAAAGAACTTACAGTGAGATGCAGATGCAGGGTGTAGTCGTCGACTCGTCGTTGCAGGATGTACAGCGTGTAGTCACTGCTGGTCTGGACGTCTGGTGGGCGGTGGTCTGGAGGGAGTGGGTGTTGCCGTGTTTGCTTGTCGGCTGAGAGAGAGAGAGAGAGAGAGAGAGAGAGAGAGAGAGAGAGAGAGAGAGAGAGAGAGAGAGAGAGAGAGAGAGAGAGAGAAGTGAGTTAGGGTTAGTGTGTTAACAAAAATGAAACGGACTTCTTTTGAAATTTGGGATTTTTTTTTTTTTTTTTTTTTTTTTTTTTATAAAAAACGCATTTTTAACGGGTTTCAGGTCCAGACCTGAAAACCCCGGGTTTGGACCTGATCCGGACCGGGACCGGAAACCTTGATTTTCAAGGACCGGGACCGGACCTGAATCTACAGGTCCGGGTCAGGTCCGGTCCCAACAGGTCCGGGTCAGGTCGGTTTTCAGGTCCGGTCCTGTTCATGTACACCCCTAATTGTAAGCAACTCAAGCTCCTCGCGGATCAACAATAAGGAACATTCTCTCTCTATCCACTTTCTCTCTCTAAAATTAAGGGTGGCAATATTATCCAAACCCGATGGATAACCATCCAACCGATTCAAATATATGGATAAAAACCCGAACTTAAGCGGGTGACAGATGGATGATGGATGGGTCAGGTGACGGATCGGGTCGGATTCGGAGGATGATATACATCCAACCTAGGGGTGTCAATTCAGATAATCGGATCGGGTCGGGTAAATTTTTAAAGTTGAGTTATACTAAATTATTATGTCCACGCGAGTCCAAATCTGAATTGCATATTTTTCGGGTCGGTTTCGGATCGGGTCGGGTCAGGTGTGCTTTAGACACCTCTAATCCAACCTATCACCCGACCCATCCATCCACCCGTTAAATTTATATATATGTAAAAATAAAAATATCTTTTCTAATAATTTAATGTCTATTGTAATGTTAGGAATTGACATTTGTTTTGAATTTAGTAAAAAGGAACAAGTATTAGAAGAATGGATCAAAGTTTTAATAAAATGATTACTTTTTTTTCAAATCTAGATTTTAATCATGAAAGTGCAAATTTGTATTTATATATTTATTTCACCCAAATAATCACCCGATTCATCCATAGATGAGGAATGGATCAGATGTGGATGTAGAAAAATCAGGTGATGGATGGGTCGGGTGATGGATGGATCGTTGGCGGATGGAGGCGGATGAAGCATCACCTGACCCACCTCCGATCCATTGCCATCTCTATCTAAAATCCTCATTTCCTCGTGAGCAGATTTAGTAAGGAAATTTTATCCCACCAATGATAAAAAAAAAAAAAAAATTCTCTCTCTCTCTCTCTTACTTTTTTCAATACCCCACTTATGTTTTCTCTCTCGTACAAATCACCATATTTTATAGATTTATGTTTTTATTACAATTTATACTTTTATAGAATAACGATTATGAAACAACTAAATGTAATTATAATTAATTTGTTATAAAAAAAATTAAATTATAATTAACTAATTATTTAACAGTAATTATTATTTTAATTATGAATTTACACGACGAGTTTTTGTTGATATTAGTTTAATTATTTGACAGTAATTATTAGTTTAATTAATTATTTGACAATAATTATTATTATTTGACAATAATTATTATTATTTGATAGTAATTATTATTATTTAACAGTAATTTTTGCTGATAGCGCCTTCAAAACGACGAATTTTGGGGTGTTGTAATTAACAACGACGCACAAAACACGTCGTTTAGAAGAGCAGTAAGCCAAAATAAATACTACATCCGTTTTTATTTAGTTGACACGTTTTGACTTTAGCACTATTCACACACCTCCCTTTGATTGTGTTTTGTGTTTTCTACGTAATGAAAAATATAATTATATGGGATCTTGTTATATTTGTCACGTTATATACTTTCAAAATATCAACTTTTCGTAATTTTTGCTTATTGATAATTAAAGATATTAATGATTGAATAAGTGCATTGGCAAACATGACTAAAGAAATGTGTCAACTAAAAAAAACTGAGGAAGTAATGAGCAGCAAGTGATGGGAGACCCCACTTGCTACTATTCATCAATTTCTTTCCTCGGGCCATGAGGAAATTCGGTTTTCCTCACCAGGATAATTGCATTTCCTCATTGATGAGATGTTCACGAGGAAATAAAGGAAATTTTTCGTCATCAATTTTCCTCATCAGGAAATTTTTCCTCATTGTTAATAATGGTCTAATTTAGCGAGTCTATATCCTAATGCAAATGATGAAACCCACTCTTTAGGAAACCCACTTTTAGCAACTTCTCACATTTTTAGTGGTTAAAGTCAATTATGCTAATGCAAGTATGTAAGCCCGGGTTTTGTTATTTACACCAAACAATGTTAGGGTCTGTTCTCATTGATTGAATTCAGCTGAATTAAACTGAACTGAACTGAACTGAACTGAACTAAACTGAAATGAATATTTTATAAGAGAAGGAAATTACGAGCTGAACTGAACTGAACTGAATTTTAACGTATGAGAACAAACCTTAGATACTTGGATACTAATACTCTAACAGCTAAAGCAGCTCCAACTCTCCAAGCCTCCAAAGCCTCTAATCCGCTATTTTTTCTCAGTCATTCCATTTAGGTTTGGCACTACTTTGATTAATTAGTGAAACTATTTCTAGTATGGAATATTAATAACTATTTCTAGTTAATAACTATTTTTTCTCAGTCATTCCATTTACTAATACTCTAACATTAGTGAAACTTCACTTTGATTAATTACCTGTCAAAGTTTTTGCATTGAAGTAAAAAGGTATTTTTATCTAGAAAAATGCCAAAAAAAATTGCACGTAGATAGAGTATTAGAGTTTTCAATCTTTTATCTAATCCATCCATAGTCCATACCATTCTAATTATATCCAAACATAAAATTCATGTACATAAAATACAAAAACAATCCAATTAGGAGACTATTCCCAAATGAGGTCTTTTCAATCGAAAAGAAAATTCATCATTTCTAGTATATACAAATCAATGGTTCAAAGAGTTCATCATCTTTACAACTCTCCCCTTCTCCCCTAATCTAGAACAATCATTATTCAACTTAAATATTTTTTTCACTAATTTTTTTTTTTTTGAAAACGTTTTTTCACTAGAAATAGTTAATAATACATCATTTTTAAGAACTAATTAAAATTATTCAAATAACATTAGTGGTCTTCCTTTCACTTCTCACGCGTGAAACACATTTTCACTTTAATGAAAATCCACCTGTTTTCCCGAAAGACCGCGTCGCACCTGATCCCACCACCACCACCTCGGTCTTACTCGTGAGTTGACTCAGTTACACCGTCAGCATCCCACCACATCTCCTCCTCATACTCCTCCGTTAACGCCACATCAGCCTTTCTTACGTCACCAACTGCTAACCTCATGTTCTCGTCATCTCTGACGTATACTTTTCCGGTTCGACCGGAATCCATCCCGATTACCTTTCCCCGCCTCTCCGACCGCCGCCAATCGGATTTAACGACCGGTGATGAACCACCGGCTCGGAAATCCCAAATGTCTAACCCTAATTTTCCGCCGGAGATGAACACCGCCGGCGACGAGGAAACCGCCGGAACTCCGGCGAAGAATAAATCTTGATTTTCTGAGTTTTTGTTATTTTCATAATCTAGGAATGAAAAGGCATTATCGACATCTACAACTCCTAAACTTAATCCATCCCAAAGCTTAACGACGCCGTTTCCATTAACAAAATCAGACAATGAGAAATTGTCAACAAAACTCCGTCTTCGGCGAAGAAGCTTGAATTTACCCTTTTGCCTTGAACTTTCATTGAAATTTCCGAAACTACCCTTTACATTGTAATCATCGTCACCAAACGATGCGTTCCATAGATCCTCGATTTCGTCGTCTTCGTCGATGTCGATGTCGTCGTCTTCTTCATCGGATGTGGATTCCCAAGAAGAGGAAACGTCGTCGTTTTCGTTATCAGAAAAATCACTATCAAATTCATCGTATAAGTGAGATAATAAAGGTTCAGAAGCAGCTAATAAAGATCTGGATTTATTGTGGTAATATAAGATTATAATCTTGATTTTATTAACAAGACTACTAAATGCATAAGCTAAAGCAAGAAAAAGGGCACCCCATTTCCATATTCTATTAGCATATGACAATTTACCCAGCTCAAAATTTGAGAAAATTCGATAAATTAATGAAGGATTATGTAATGAATTAATACCAGCTTCAAAATTAATTACTGGGAATTCCATATTTTTTTGGGGAGGAGAGAGAAAAATGAGATTTGGGTTAGGAAGATTTGAGAATTTGTGGGTATAAATAGGAGAGAGAGAAAAAAAAGGTGAATTTGAGGGAAAAAATGAAGGGAAAAAGAAGAGGAGGATTGAGTAAAGGAGAAGATGAGTTTATATAATTGATAGGAGGGTTGGAGAATTGGTCTTGCTTACTTGGTGCCTTTGCCACCTTGGTGGTTGTTAGGAGATAAGACTTTTCCAAGCAATCAATTTTATAAAATAATTGGAATTTAAGAATATTAATTTGTATGATGTACTAAAAAAAATGTCTTTCCAACTATATATAATAATTTAGTACAAGAGTATAGTGATATAATAAGGTATTAAAAAGAATTTGTAAAGATTCCACTTTTTTTTTTTTGTAACCAACCATTTATTTTAATTACTATTGTAGTGGAGCTAGTATAGTGCCTATGTTCTTCAAACACCTTTCTAATTATTGTAATGGAGATTAATGCAAGTTAGGATAGTGGAAAGTGTATTCCCTTTTTGGATTTGTAGGTAAGTAAGAAAGATAAAGTTGTTTAAAGATTTGTGTAGCTATAAGTGTGTCAATTTAGGTTCTCATATGGACATATAGTTTTGGATTGACTTGTGGCGGGTAGAGTCGAAACAAGACGATTGATTCTATTGGGTCAAGTTGTGGTAATTCAACTTGTTTATTAGCTTGTGCCTTGTTTGGCCTCTATTCACTCAAGTCATATATGTTAGAGTTAGCTCGATCTAGGTTCTTAATATATTGATATGTCATTACGAGTTCGACTTGACTTTCCATATACAGTGTCATTTTTGCTATCAAGCATTTTAGATCAAACCATTTTGTTTGAGCCCATCCCTAAATTGAGAGATTGTTGGGCCTAGCTTAGGTTTAAGCCCAATTACTACGTGAAATGACGAAAATTTACATAATCAAGCACATTTACTCCTAAACCAGCTTGTAATGTTGTTACTAGTGAGTAGTCCGAGCGTTGCCCTAAGTTGCTCATATTATAGATGTGCAATTGATAAAAAAATTAAAAGACTTTTCAAAACAGCAATTGTCATTGGTAAACTAAAATTGGGTTATTTTTTTAGTATTGTTTTAATTGAATCTTGTGGTTTATCATAAAGTACATTTTTGTCATCATAGTATTATAAAAAAAATATTAAAATGAAATTAATATTTTATGAGAAAAGGAAATTAGGAGCTGAATTGAACTGAAATTAAGAAGAAGTGAACGAACCCTAAATATACATACAACCTTTTCTAATTCTTTGGACCTTTTTTTTTTCTCTATTTTCACTTTAAATCTTTGAAGGATGTTTTTAGGATCATCCGAGGTAGCTTACTTTTTCTCTTCTATAGACTCTCAAAGTGGCATGGATGGATTCCATGCATAGTCACTCTAGCAAACAAAAAAACCAAGTTTAATTTGTCTTCAAAATACCCCTCCCCTCTTAAAACTCATAAATTTTTATTTGAAAGTATAAAAAATTTACAAAAAAGCAAATATGATTCCATGGGAAAATCTTAGACGGTGGCAAGTTGCGACTATCAAGTACATAAAAAAAGAACCATCTAAACCACGAATTGAATTGAAAGGGCTTGTGGGTAAGACTTAAGGGGTGACTGGGTGAGGCGTAGGATATTAGGATAATCATTAAGAAAGGGGTTAATGATTTATGTTGCTACACGTCGGAAAAGGCCTAGCTTGGCGGCCTTTTTGGTGAAAGATAAAGACGCCATTGATGCTGACAATGCTGCGTCAGAAATTAAATACTCTTTTCATCAACAATTTATATCTGAGTTTTCTTCAAACATTAATTTTCTATCTATGAGTACTTTTTAAAATTGATTCATTACTTGCTCTGTTTATTACTCTTTTAATATAAATCCTAATGTGTGGTATTTTACACAATTCATACACATTCCTTTAGTCGTCTTTTATCATTTATACATTGAAAAATATACAATCAATTTTTTCAAAATTCGTCTTGAAATACACTTTATTAATATCAACTTTTAATACAGAGTAGTAATTTTTATTACAACAGAATTTAAAATGTTTAAATTATAAGGCAAAATATAAAATATGCATTTACAAATGAAAAAACTCCTAGATTACTCTTAGAAAAGGAAATGGAAAAGGTATTTCAATTTAAAATACTGTACTTCACAATTATGCTTTGAATTGAGCTGAAATATTTGTACAATTGAAATAGAAATAAATATGTTGTCCAAAAAAAAAAAAATTACTGCTGGTGTGGCATTGACGGAACAAAAGCCAAAAAAATTTGTGGCATTGATGCAGTTGACGGTCTATCCATGCAAAGCCAGACACGTGGAGATGGAACAAGTGGTGTGGATTGCGAGACTTCGGGATTATTTTGGCATCCACTTGTAGCATCAAATAAATTAATGGCAAAGACTGCAGCGGTTGTTGTTTTTACGTTCATGTGGGGACGGTGTAGTCAGTACACCACTTACTCAAAAAAAAAAAAGTACACCACTTACTCTTATTTATTTATTTTTTTTATTTTTTTTAATATCCGTATGTAGTACTAACTTCTGAATTAATTGTCTTAAAAAAAAACTGAATTAATTAACTTGCTAGTTGTGTTAGATAAGTAATTAGTGCAGTATTGAAATAATTACGGAGTAGATCTTTTACCAATATGACTAATTTGACAAAAGTATTTGCCAAAATAGCTAATTATAAAATTTAATTCCCAAACTAGCTAGTTTATTAATTTTGAAGAAATTAATTTATCTATTTATTATTTTTCTTTGAACCAGTTTGGTTCACTTTATTAATTTTTTTTATTTGTTTTTTTGTTTCATTTTAATTTTCTTAAAGATTTTTTTTAAAATAAAACAAAAAAAATAAAAAATTATTAGCTATATATTTAGCTAATTACTACTTATTTTAGAGGTATATGCATAATTATAAATACACTATTAGCTTGGATTTGCAGCTTGATTTGGGTGTAGGGATGACAATTTAATCTGAGTTCGATTCGAATCCGATCCGATCTGAAGGAAAAAAAAATTGATTCGAATCCGTTTAAAATTAGTCCGAATCCGATAAAATACATCTGAATCCGAATAGGAGGTGGATCGGACTTGGACCCTACGCGAAGTCCGACGGAGTCCGATTCGAGTCTGAATCCGAGAGTACAAGCATATGCTCTATAACTTGGGACGGCAATTATTTGCTTGTTTTGTAGCAAAATTTTGTTATGTGACTTAGTTTATAATTTAAATATGTTATGTTTAATTATACTTTAATTGGTCTGACAATACAAGCAATTATAGGTATATGACATTATAAAAAATAAAAATTAAAAAAATATTCGGATCATTTCGGAGGTCCGTATAAACGGACCGGATTCGGATCTGAAAATTTATGAGTCGGATCGGATTCGGACTCGGATTTTTCAGATTCGGATCCAAGTCCAGGGTCCGTTTACTAAATGGATCGGATTCGGATTTAGCCACATCCGACCGGAATCCGATCCGTTGCCATTCCTATTTGGGTGCCTTATCTTCAATCTTTTAGAAGAAACTTTGATTTTTGTTGTTTTCGGAGCAAATAAAATGATTCTATGTTTAATAGTTGTACAACTCTAGTTATTTATATACAAGACTGGATTATTCCTTCTTAGGGCCTGTTCACATTTACTTAATTTCAGTTCAGTTCAGTTCAGTTTTAGCTCAATTCAGTTCTCAATTCTCTCTCTCATAAAATATTCATTTTAGCTCAGTTCAGTTCAGCTTCAATCAGTTCAGCTCAGTTCAGCTCGGTTCAGTAAATGTGAACATGCCCTTACTTTCTAATTTTAGGCTTTTATCTAATTGCAATGCACCTTTTTCTCCCGCTAAATGCATTAGAAACTTTGGGTCTTTAGATATTAATATATTTCTATCTTTATGTGTTAAAAAAAATATATTTTTTTTAACCGGAAGTTTGGATCAATTTTTTGAGTGATTGTTTATTTTGTGTAACTTTTTTTTAAAAAAAAAATTGATAATTGTTGCAAAAATACTATGTTGAATGTTATTGTTCAAATTAATGGGAAAAAACCAAAATTTATATAAAAAAAACTTATCATATTTTAAATTAAACCCAAAAAAAAAACCATAAAGTGAAGCAAACCAGTTCAAAGAAATATAAGAAAATACGGAGTAGATAAATTCCTTCCAAGTTGATAAATTAGCTAGTTTGGGAATTAAAATTTATAATTAGCCGTTTTAGTAAATATTTTTGTAAAATTAGTCATTTTTGTAAAAAATATTAAATAATTCGAGTATATCAAATTTGAAATGCATGTCAAAAATCACGCGTTCATCAATGTAATTAATGCTCCAGTATGTCTTGTATAGTTGTGTGCGGTTGTCCCAGTATGTCTTGTGTGCGGCACCACTTACCCTTATTTATTTTTAATTTTCCGTAGTACTAACTTTTGAATTCATAAAAGTTGCAACACTTCCTATTTTAGTAAAGACTCACTACTATTCTACAAAGTACGAGCATTATTTCTCTCACTTACCCACTTGCACAAAAATTTAATTAATTATTTCTCTCTCTTATAAACCCCACTTGTACTATTTTTAGTGTAATACTATACAATTATATATAAGCATTAAATATATTATTGGAAAATGTAAAAAATTAGAAATTCATGATAAATACACGCGTAAATCAGTGTAATTAGTGTGTTTTTGTCATGATTTCCTAAATTTAAACAATTTTCTAAAGTATAATTTAATGCTTATATGTAGCCCTAAGAGACACGTATATATAACATTTTCCATTATTTCTCTTTCATACTAATAATAAAATACAATATATTCCTACAAACTATACTTATATTATAAAATTCACCCTATGATCCCTACCTTATAAATTTCCTATAACTTTGTGCAAAGCGTACTATTGCGATTAATATGAACCGGGGGGGGGGGGGGAGTAGCTTGATCCTGTTGTATTAGATAAGTAATTAGTACTCCCTCCCTCCCCTATTACAAAGTCTCAAATCTTTTTAGGTAAATCAAAATATAATGCCTCTTTTTATTTAAAGGTTGTATTTTTTTACATTTTATTACTTTCTTTTTATGAGTTATCATTTTTTTTTCCTTTAATTTTTGTACTTTTAACATCAATTTTCAACGCTTCTCTCTCTATCTTTTTTATAATTCCCAACTACTTTTTCTTTCTATCTCTCTCTCTGACCCTCTATTGTCACGAAATGCACATCAAGGGCCAACAACTGTTCTTACAGATCAACACGATTCCTTCCGGTGCATTTTGTCCTCACTCCTGCGCAACCTGGGAGAACTTCCCACGAGGTCACCCACCCCAAGACTACTGCCAGCCAAGCACGCTTAACAATGGAGTATCTTAGTATATGAGCTCCCTAAATGGAATATGCACCTTGTTGATATAAGTAGTATATCAAATCTCTTTAAAGCAATCATGAGGGGTATTAAAAGGTAGGGGTGTTCACGGTGCGGTAAACCGCAAACTTGCGGTTTGCATTTTTTTCAAACCGCACTTATAACCAAACCGCACCGCAAATTGCGATTTGGCGGTGCGATTTAGCTACATTTTTTAAAAAATTGTAAATATTTTGTTAAAAAAAAAGACTTTTTATGTTATTTTGCGATTATTATTATATAATATTATCATTAACTTTTTTTTTGTAAACTTTTAATTAGCTAATAGTAAAAAATTACATCATATTTCTAAGCTATTTTATATACTTTTTAATAGAAACATTATAAAATTGTAATAACGGTTTGCGATTTGATGGTCCAAACTGCAAACCGCATCAAAGTGGCGGTGCGGTTTGGTGTAAAATATTTGGGAAACTGCACGAAACCGCAAAAGTGCAATTTGATCATTTTCAGAAATCGAACCGCAATTTTCAAACAAGAAATGCACCAAACTGCAAAATTGTGGTTTGGTTTGCGATTTGGTGTGGTCCAAACCGCACTCTGAACAACCCTAGTCTTAGGGGACAGAGAAAGTATTGAAATAATACGATTATCAAATTTGGGACGCATATCAAAAATCAATGTGTTCATCAATGTAATTAATTTTTATTTTACCCTAATATTTTCATTTATAGCTCTTTTATCTAATTATACTGGGACTTTGTTATTATTGCCTTTTATTAATGTAAGAATCAATAGAAACTTGAGTATATTTACCGAACGACTATGCATTTAAAGTTTATTTTAAGGCGATCGTTGATTGAATCTGCGATATAATTAGTTTTAATTCTAATTTGTTATGTACTTGTGTTGGAATTCTATTGGTGGATCTATATGTGTGCATGGTGGTGCACGTGCATCACAAGAAAATAAATAAAAATAAATTCAGTTTTTTTTTCTTTTTTTTTTAAAAAAAAAAAATTTAGGCTACAAGCATAAAACTTGCACTGAAACTCTGAAAGTATAGTAGCAATATCAAAGAGACTGGTCATCTGTAATAAGCGGTCTCTTTGATCATTTTATAATTAAAGAGAACAACTATCTTTATAACCGTTCTCTTAAGTTATCTCCTTCTTTATTTTTCTTTATTTTTTCCTTTTCTTTTTCTTGATTCTATTTATATCTTTTATGTGTGCCACTAATTTTTAAATTTATCCGTAAAGTTTCTCAATTAAGTTAAAAAAAAAATCATAAAGTTAAGTAATAGTTTTATAGTACCATTTGTTTGTAATATGTCATTTGTACTACTTTCGGCTTGTAAGTTGGAATTTTTATTATTTACTATTTGGTTGTAGTATGGATTTCCTTTTCTAGACTGAAATCAATTTGGTTATTTATAATTTTTGGCTTGAAATTAATATGAACTAAATCTGGGGGAAAAAAATTGTACTTCACAAGTGATCAATAATTGATGGTGACTCACCATCTCGAAAATCCTGGATTCGCCCTCGTGGAATTCTAAATTTCTTTGAAGTTGTTTGTTAAAATTGTTTGGATGGCTTTTTTTTAATTTTTTTTTATCTATTCTCCCTTTTTTCTCCTCTCTTTTTTCTTCTAGGGTTTTAGTTTCATTTAACCGTTTAGTAAAAAAAATCGTCTAACTTCTTCAAAAATTAAATTAATTTCAACCCTTTTAATTTTATTCAATCCATTTATTTATTTTGCTTTGTTCTCTTCATCTTTGAGAGTTTCCTTCCCATATATAGTTTATTTATTTTTTATTTTTATTTTTTTTCTATTCTATATATATGGATGCGATTTTTATTCTAGGTTTTTTATAATTAAGGGTCTGTTCACATTTACTGAAATGAACTGAACTGAACTGATTGGAGCTTAACTGAACTACACTGAGCTGAAATGAATATTTTATGATAGAAGGAAATTAGGAGCTGAACTGAACTGAATTGAAATTAAGCTGAAGTGAACAGGCCCTACGAAGATAACCTGGATTGATGTACATGAGTTTAGGTTTCGTCATCAACTCTACAATCACAACATCAGCATGGATGCATACAATAAAAGAAAGATGCAAAGACATCGATCCGCCCAATTTTCAAGCAGTGGAGTATTATGTGTTGTATCGAAATTGCAGAAAAATTCCGATTTTGATTGTAACATCAATGTTTTCTTTTTCTTAATATGTGGTTTACAGATTTATTATCATATTATTATAGATGTTGTATTGCTAATTATTAATGAAATTATTCTTCTAGTAAAAAATTTTAAAAATTTGATACAGTTCATACCAAAATATAATACTTGGTAATTTTTTTTGGAAAACCCAACATATGATATTGAGTTTATAAAATCAAGCTTTATTATCTACTTATACTAGGGAGTATGAGATTCTCTTATCTCCTCCCTATACTCTCAACTTCTAATTTATTTAATTAGTTCCCATTCTTTTGAGTTGAACGGACTGAAATGACCGGGAATTAAACTGAATTATTAATACTATTAATTAAAATTTAATTTTTCCTAGAAATTAGTCAATAATAATAATTCAAATTCATTAATTATTTTATTTATTATAAAAATTATTATTGTCACATTACCATATCAAGTTGCTCAATTCCCTTTTTTTTTTCCTTCTAATTTTCATATATTTTGGGTACAAAAAATGGGTTTATGAAAAGCATAAGAACAAGAAGCACACGCATAATCCAAAATTACAATAATGAAAGTTGCTCAATTCCCTTTTCCATTATCCGGGCCCTATTATTTTTTCATTCCACTTACAATTCATGACAGCCCAACTTGTAATAGGAATTCAAATCAATGATAACTTAGGGTGTTAGCAAACATATCCTTAAATTGATGTTGAAAGAGGATGATTGTGAGACTTGTAAGAGTGTGGGATTAATGGTAGATGCATGGAAATTGCTAGTGGATATAGTTGTAATCAACCCAAATCTACTTGTGCAGTCACATATTAATGACGAATAATAGGGCTAAACTAATAATGCTTAATAAAGACATCTATTTAAGTAATCAAAAAGAAATTGAAATTCTACACTACGGCGTTTCATTATGTCACGTGTCACCATCATTTGGCAAATGACATGTGGTCAATTGTATGTATATGTTGACCATATTTTTTCTTCATAATTTTTTTTTGATGTTTAGATTTTTTCTTTATAATAGATGAAAAAAATATTACTCGGTAACATCGATGTTAAGATGGGAAATTAGAATTGTGTTGACCACTTTATCAAAATACCAAATAATTAACATTATAATTAACGAGTGTGATTAAACTAATATAACAATAGAAAAAAAGGAAAGATGGGAACATGAGTGGTAGGAGAAAATCAGATCCAGCAACACACACACAATAAAGAAATAATTAGATGATGAATAATAAGTATTACAAGCTTTCAAAACACCATAAAAGATCCCAACTATAACCTCTCCCTCATTTAAACCGAAAGATGTGTTTGAGCTATTCAAGGAGCGAGGCACTGTTGGGCTATCATATGGCTAACAAGTTATTTATATAGTACAAGGCATAAATTTAGAGGAGGTTTTGCTTGAGACCGTTTTACGTGAGTTCGGTTTATAATGCATACACCCATTCCTCAACCACTGCCACTACCACTATCTATCTAGCCATTTGTCGGCGGCCGACGACCACCCTCCCCCTCCCATCCCCAACTCCTTACCCGTAGTATTGTCCACCACTCGCCTAGCCAAAACCCCTACTCACTGCTCCATCCATCGCACACAGCACGCACCAATCGAACAACTCTTAGTCGCTACTCCACCCTTGCTTCAAATGTTAATTCTTTCTGTTCAATTATTGATGTACACCCTTGTTTAATCTGTTTTATTGCCTTGGTTTATGCTCTGTATTTGATTGTTGATGGAAAATTTTAATTTCAAAGATGTTCATTTTCTCTTAGTCCTTCGTGCAAACTGCAAACGTGGTTGAGATGGTAGTGTGACTGTCATTTGCTCATCACTTGATTTCACAGTGCATAGAAGTGGCGGATCTAGGATTTCTAAGCTTGTGAGTCACCCTAAATTATTAATCCAATGCCACCGATGTAGCCTAACACACTATAAGAAATGAGCCGTAAACCGATGGTCATACATACCAAAAACCATACTAACTAGGGGTGAAAGTTCGGTATTCAGTTTGGATTATACCCCAAACCGAATTATTTTGGTTTTGGATTTTTGAAACCGAATCCAAACCGAATTTGGATTCAATCCAATCCAATCCAAACCGAAATAATTCGGTTTTGGATATTGAATCCAAACCGAAATAATTCGTTTTGGATATTGAATCCAAACCGAACCGAATTTCTTTGGGCTGTTTTTTTGGGCCTTAAATTCTGGGCTGTTATTGGACAAATAGTTTTGGGCCTTTTAAAGACCTAATTTTTGTACCTGTTCTTGAACAAAACATAAATTTTTAGACAAAGATTCCACCACCATAATTAATGTCATGAATTACAACACTTAAGTTTGTCCAGCCAAAATAAAAATTACAGACAATCAAACACAACAATAGTCTTAAACATAAAATGACAGTATGGCAGATTGGCAGCAGCTTCATTCAAATCTGGCAGTAGCTTCTTCTTCTTGGCAGCGTACTCTTCATGCATTCAATCAAGCTCAACCAAGTCTGGGTTGATTGGATCATTAATTTTCATGTTTTTCAAGTCTAACATTCAAAAAATAAACAAGTTACATAATATATATGACATAATGAAAAAAAAACATATGATAATTAATCATTATACTACAAAAATAAGGCTCATAAAATAATAAATCTATCAAAAATAACATAAGTACTCACCAATTTGAACATAACAGAACAAAACATCACTATAAAGATTGAACAAAACATCACCAATTTGAATGAAATCAATTCAAAAATAATAACCCAGAGATAACTCAAAATTCCTAATTCGAACATAATAAATTAATAACCCAATTTCACAATTCGAACATAATAAATTAATTACCCAGAAATAACTCAAAATTCCCAATTCGAACATAATTCAAATTCCCAATTCAAAAAAACAAATGAAAGAGGAAAAGAGGAGTAAATAAAAAATCCTTACCTTTGAGTGACTGAGAGAGGTGGTGGCGACAGAAGGTGGTGGTGCATCGCGAATTTGAGGGAGTACGAAGTCTACGAACACCAGATCTGAAGAAAGGAACTGATATTCGACCAAGGAGACAATATATGGTGGCCGGAGTGAGATACGGTGGCCGGAGTGAAGGAAATGAAGGGTTTTGGTGAGGAAGTAGAGGAATTGAGAAGTGAAGATGGCCGAAAGTCAGAAAAATGAAGGAGGAAATTAGGGTTTGCTATATATATGTAGGGGAATTGGGCTAGAATCTATATGGGCTTTAAACATTTCGGTTTGGATTTTGGTTTTCGGTTTTTGAGGACCCAGAACCGAATCCAAACCAAAATAATTCGGTTTCAGAATTTTGGAACTGAATCCAAACCGAAAACCGAAAAAATCGAACCAAATTTCTAGTTCGGTTCGGTTTGGATCGGTTTTCGGTTTTTATCCAAACTACTTTCACCCCTAATACTAACCCCCTACTCCATACGACCATAGCCCATACAGCCATATTAACCCCCTTCCCCTGACACCACCAAAAACCTTACTCCTGCCCCGACCACCTCCCTTTTCACCTCTAACAACCTTGAGCCACCACCTACCACCACCAGCCACCGTTAACCACCAACCAAAATCACCAAAATTTTGAAAAATTAAACATAAAAATTTCAGATCTAAATACAAAAAAACATGAAAAAACGTAAAAATACTACATATGCAAACCCACAAAAATCACACCAAAAACCCACAAAAATTAAACATCAATCAACAAAATCAACCAAAATTAAACAACAAAATCAAAATTAAACCACCCTAAAACCAAATCAACCCCAAAAAATCAACATACCTTGAAATATTTCACCTTTTTTGGGTTTACATGGTCAAATTCAACCATGAAAATTCCAGATCTGGAATTTTCATGGTCGAGATTGACAAAAAAAACCGTTAACTTTGAAGAGAAAAAATGAATAAAAAAAAGGTAGGTGATGAAGAATTTCATAGATTCGTAGGAATCTCAATTCTCATGTCCTAGTGTTGAGGAGAGGACTAAGGGCACAAAGTCACAAACGTGAGAAGGAAGAAGGAGAGAGAAGGAAGGAGAGAGAAAGGAGGAAGGAGTGAGAAGGGAGGAGAGATAATGTCAGTTTAGTGCTTCACGGATTCACGCCATCATGTGTCTTTCTTAATTTTTTTTTCTTTTTTTAATTTAACTTAATACTTCGTTTTTTTTACACTGCTGAGTCACGTGACTCACCTTGCACCAACGTAGATCCGCCCCTGGCATAGTAATCCCTTGGTCATGAGCTCTGCTGCTGGATTTCAGATCACTAAATGCAGTAAGGCTTTCTATTGCATTAGCTGTGTATTTACCGAATATATGTCTAATATCTGATCAATATTGTCTAATATCTGATCAATATTGTCTAATATCTGATCAATATTGTCTAATTTCTAATCAATATCGTCTAATATCTGACCAATAATATCTAATTTCTAACACTTTTAATCTAATATCAGATAAATATAACTTAATATATAACCATTATTATCTAAATTTTGACACTTTTAATCTAATATATGATATTTATAACTTAATTTTTTGGTCGTGTTTGGTGAAAAGCTGAAAGCTGAATCTGATTTGTGTTAGCTGATTTTAACTAACTGATTGTATTAACTGATTTGACTAACTTATTTTATCAGTTGATTATATAAAAGTGCTTGGTAAATACTCTCTCCGTTTTTAAATACTTGCTCCACTTTCCCTTTTCGGCCGTTTTTAAATACTCGCTCCATTTCCTTATTTGGAAAACTTTTACTCCCTCCGTTTCAATTTGTTAGTCCCATATAGTATTTTGGGCATTTCAAAATGATGTACCCATATTGAATATTTCCTAACCTTATTATAAAGTGAATAATTTTCATAATCCATGAACAATTAATCTAATTGGGTGTTTAAAGAATCAAATAATTTTGATTAGTTAATGTATGTGCTAGTGAATTGCTGACATGGCAAATTTTCCAATCAAAATTTATAATAGGCGATTAATTATATCCAATAAACATAAATAAAACAAGAAGAGACAAAACATTAATTACAAAGTTGCAATCAAATTCCAAATTACTAAGATTCCTCCTTCTCTTATTTTCAGTGATTGATTCCAAAGGGGACTAATAAAGTGAAACGGAGGGAGTACTATATTTAATTAATTTTTCTCACCTAGTGGATCCACCATTGCAGACACCCATTTGTTTCTCCCCAAAACCAAACCCGGTGATGAGTACCTTTCACATCGAATCATAATCGAATGAAGTGAAAGTGTGGAAAGTCTAGTGTTGCAGATAGTTTTAATTTCTTTTCTCTTCTCTCTGTTTTTGAAAATCTATTTTAAGAAAACAGCCAATCCAGTTTGGTTGGTCCATGATATGGGTCCAATAGTAGTGTAGTTGGATAGGGTTTGAAATGAGCTCTCCAACGATATATTATAAGCCCAATTTCGATGAATATTGAGGAAGTTATGGCCAAATTACTAAACTGGGCCCGGTTTGAGCCTTATGTGCGGCCCAATGATCTAGGGGAGGGCCTAATATGGATTTATCATTCCTAATGCAATTAGGAATGATTCTAGTCTTCTAGATTCTTCTAGAAGGTTCTTTTCATTCCTAATTCAATTAGCATTGATAAATTGACTTTTGTTGACTTTTTGGAGTTTTAATCAGAATAAAAGAATGTTTTTGAGGAAAATACGATTTTATCCTCCAGTACTGTTAATTTTTATCTGATTTTAGAAAACGCGTTAGAAATTTAATCAGCGCCAAACGCCAGTTATTAGCGCCTGGCGCTAGCGTCAGCGTTTGACGCTGACCTTGTTTTTGCGCGTCAGAACTCTGTTTCGATTTTCTATCTTTTTGGCTGATTTTCTCTATAAATAGCCTTCTAAAAACTCCGTTTTGAATCATCAGTTTTCACCCATTCTCACCAACTCTCATCAAGAAATTCTTGATTATCTCTCTCTTTCTAGCCTAGCTTTTCACAAACACAATTCCTAATACATTAGCACTAGACACATTTAGCCATGTTCGAAGTTGCTTTCGCTCTAGACGTGAAAGGTTTTAATTTCTGAGGGTATGATCCCAAATCTCTATTTCAATTATTTATTTTAATTATTTGATTATTATTTTCCTTGAAGTTACTAACGTGTGTATTTTGTTATTAGAAAGAGGTACGAGACATCCAAGTAAGTACTTTAATGGTTTTTATTGATGTTATTATGTAGAAATCATGCTTAGATTGTTATTTTGATTCCTAATATCATGTCTAAGGTAACTTTAATATCAAGTATGATTAAAAGTATGATGCCTTTTATGTTCTTCCTAATATTTATGATTGTTAGTATCATGTTAGGGCCAAAACTTTGATTTTTATTGCTTAGTGACATGCTAGGGTTTGTTATTAATCTTGTTAGTATCATGCATAGGATCTTGTTATTGTTATGCTTTAACATGATTATTATTTTTATAATAATAATAATAATTATTATTATTATTATTTATGTTGCTTGATTGTATATTATTATTATTATTATTATTATTATTATTATTATGATGATGATGATGATGATGATGATGATGATGATGATGATGATGATTATTATTATGATTATTATTGTTATTATAATTTTATGATTATAATTAATTTATGATGATTATTATGTTGTTTGATTTTTATTGTTATTGCTTGATCACACCTTTTATGCATGTTTAAAGGGAATTGGTATTTGTAATCACGCTTAATAAGATAATTAATAATCTTGCTTAGGGTTAATTTGATTATAGTTCAAGTGATCGCCGATAATAGTTTTATTTGTGCATTAATATTCAACCAACATAGATTAAACAGGTTTAGGGTAAACCTATTGATTGCATGTTAGTCAGAAAACGCACATGAATACGATCAGAATAAAGTAGAGGCCTATTATTAGGGAAAGTTCAATCTCTTTTAGGTTGAATTTGTACCTTCATCCCCGAACACCAGTCATGGTTCCAGACCTATTGGAGTTAACGATCTCTTGGATCGTTAAGGGGTGTAACCTTCACCCTATGAACGGTTTACAAGTTCCTAAAACTTGTTGGCGACTCTTTTTCTCTATCATCTTTCCCTTTGGACGCCACTGTACTTTAGTGTATGATCATAGTGGGGTTCAAGCTAGGGGTAATGCTTGAAATATTCCCTACAATTTTTGGCGACTCCACTGGGGAGGATTTCTATTTTAATTCCTGAAATTTATTTCGGCAATGATTTAGAATGAGTGGATGAGACTCGAAAATTTTTAAGTATTTCATGTGCGTAATTTTGATTAACATTATTGTCATATGCATAAAAAAGATCTCATTGGAAAGACCATCCGTAATGAGTTAAAACATAGGATTTTTACACGTAGGAAATTTGAGGAATATCTTTCACAACTAGGATCGAAATAACACTGCGCGAAACTGGAAAATTTTATCGAGCACAGAAAGCTGCTGAGGCATGTAGGAACTAGCGTCAGCAAACAAAGATTAGCGCCAGTATTTATTGACTTTAGCGCCAGACGACAACTTCTATCGCCAGGTGCTAAAGCCAAAAAGTGGCGCTAGCCTCTGTTGGCTGGCGCCAAGTTTTTCCAATACCGAGCCAGAAATATGCGTTCTAATTTCGACCAGTTTTTAGCATTGTTTGCTCGATCCTACTTCGTGATTAAGTTTTTCTCACTTTTCTGAAACCCATATGTGTTCTACATATGGACATAACCCTCTGGGAATTCATGATCCATCTACCTGATTGAACGCTTTGAGCAACAAAGGGTACATCCGAGAATGTTGAATTCACCAAACCATGGAAGCGAGTTTTTTTTTTTTTTAAATTCGCGGTGTCCCATCCACTCGCACCAACCCTTCACGGTTAGGCTTCCGCACGGTGCATCCGGACAATTAACCATGGACCCTCTATTGACTAACCCATATCCCGAAGTTTAGAGAACTAGAGCCATGGTTAGGTTGCAAACTCATTGCATCATATTGTGCCTACTTGACTAATTGCGCATTATTGCTTGTGCATACTCTATGTGTTTTTTCCTAACCATTTGTTTGACTTGTGTTAAAACAAAATAAACTGCTTAATGGCTAAAAAGACTTTGCTTAATTAATTAATTAATTAATTTTGGTAATTAGAGTCTAATAATTTAATCAGAGTTGACTTAGTACGACTTAGGGCATACCCTGTAGAGTAATAATACCGAAAGCAGTTCCAGATCAACGTTCCAGCATTGGCGCCAAGATTTGGACTGCAGCGCCACTCTGTGGAGTGTAGCGCCTGGCGACAGCTCTGTCGTCTGGCGCTACACTACACAGTGCGGCGCCAGTCCTGTCGTTTTGGCGACAGTTCGGTATATTACTCGAGTCATCACTTTGTGTCTAATTGAATAGTTTGCTAATTAATTCGATTATTTTTATTAATAATAATGCCTCGTTAAGTCTTTGCTTGAATCTAGTCACATAGTCTAGCCACATGGTCATGGCAAGAGTCTTAACATGTCACCTACACTCACTAGTCTTAGCACACACTTTGAGTATATGTCACCATGACCATGTCTTAGGTTCATGCATGAGTCAGTTTTTTCCGTCGTTCGAGTTGGGGGTACATTCTATTCCTAATTTTTTCATATCTCTCCATCTACATCATTTTTCTTCACATCACGACCTTCATTCTTCCTACCTTATTTCATCTAT